GGGGAGCCGGCCGAGGCAAACCAGGGCCACCCCAACCTCCATGGACACAGGAGACCAGTGGGGAAGTACCCGACAGGACAAACATATGAACAGACAGCTGAGGGACAAGGCAGAGTGAGGGGGACTCCCATGGCCCCGGCTCCCACCCCAGGCCAGGTTCCAGCCCCAGGTGGGTGTCACAGGTGTCAGGCCAGGCTGGGACCAGCCGATGGATGAGGAGGGGAGCCTGGCACCCCCCCAAACCCTCAGCACGACAGCAATGTGGACAGGACCCTGGCTGGAGGGGATGGCCAGGCCAGTGTGAAACCCCACAGCTCTGTGGGGGGAGGCTCCCTCCCCACGGGAGCAAATGGGATGGCCAAAAGGGCATTCTCCCGCATTCCTGGCCAGCGTGGGGATGCTCCCCCACTGGGCAGGTGCCACCAGGAGCAAGGGCCTCCAAGTGCCTCCTGCAAAGCCCCCAGGTGGGTTTCTCCAGCAGCTTCATCCTCAGGAGCGGCAGCATGGGTGCCCTTTCCCTTGCCACCCTGCCGTGGCCTCAGTCCTTCTCCTGCACCAGGCTCTCCTCCGTGATGCCCTGGGCTGCGAGCTCAGCCAGGACATTGTCCAGGTAGTTGATGTCAGGGTAGCCGTGGCCGGTGAGGTTGGAGCCGAACTCTGTCTTGTGGTGGATCTCATTCCAGATCACTGTGTCTGACTCGCCTGTGGTGCTGGAGGTCCCGATTGCAAAGATCAAGCGCCGGTCCCAGGCTACCAGCAGCAACTTCAGTACCTGCGGAGGGGAGAGATGGGGCAAGCAGCAAGGTAAAAGAGGGGGAGGAAGCACCCATTTTTGCTCAGGACACACCTGATCATCCTGGTACACCCCAGCAATGTGGGCAACCCACAGCAAAGCCCTCCAGGGAGTTTGGGATCCCAGCATGGGGTCCTACCCCAACCAGAATAGCGGGACCAGGCTGCAGATCTCCCCTAGCGCATGGGAATGTCGCTGGGCTCCTGCAGGGCATGCCGGACGGGCTATGGGGAAAACCTCCACCCAGATTTGCCTCCATAAGCCCTATCTGCTTTTCCCCATGCTCCAAACAACTACGCACTTCCTCTCCCCCTTGATACGCCCTTGAGCATGCCTTGGCCAGCTCGAGCCGCCCAGGTGAGCCCCTCACCTTTCTGCCCTTCTCGCTGTCCGGCAGGTAGCAATGCCGGGGGAAGCCACGGGCAGTGAAACTCTTCCCGGGGTTTGGATGCTCCGGTCCCTGCAGCGTGTGGAGTGGAAGAGGAACAAAACCCTTTTGGAGCTCAGAAGGATGCTCTGGGCACAAGGTAACCCCCCAACCTAAGCGGATGCAGAGCTGCTCACTGTTGTGCAGGGCTGCCACGCTCTAGTACAGTGGCCCTAAATGCCACCATCCCCCCGCCACCAAGCAGATGGGGCCAACACTTTCAGGCAGGTGTACCCCGGACTTCCCACAACATCCTTACAGACATGCAGCTCCCGAGACAGCACTGAACCCAGAGCCCTGAGTCCAGGCATGAACTGCAGCATGACCCAGGGGTGACACTGCAGTGACAAGGGCCACCAGCCTTCACAGGGGACCCCCCAAGTACCCCCCTGGGCATAGGGCCAGGCCGCACCTGCACCCCTGGGGGGATGTTGTAGATGATGCGGATGGTTTTGCAGTCAGAGTGGCCAGGCAATGCGTGAGGGATGATGTGATACTCCATCTTCCCTGGGGGCTGTGTCCCAGTCTTCACTCCATAGATGGTTTTGCAGGTGGGACACTGCAGGCTCCCATCCTGACAGGAAAAGAGGGAAACACAATGAAACTGGTATCCCCAAGCACTAAGCCAGACCAGGCACTTCATCCCTGAGCAGCACTGAACGCCATTTGCATCATAAAAACAGCAATTTAAAAAACACTGAGGAAGTAGGGGGTAAGGCTGCGAAAATTTGCTGCAGTGACCCAACTTTAACCAATAACCTGAGGTCTGCATTTCTCTTCCTCATCAGTTTTACAGTCCTTGCTACTTGCCCTACCTCTCTTTTGGGGTTGGTTTTGTTGGGTTTTTTTTGGTTTTTGTTTTTTTAAAGAGGGAAAGGTAATAAATATTTAGAAGTCTCAAGCAGTGTGAAACACATTTTCCTGGGAATGTCGAGTGCAAGGGCCATTTTTTCAGGGGGCTCAGTAAAGCCCACCTGCCGCTGGAAAAGCACCGCCTGGCACCAGATGCCAAGTAGCTCTGCTCAAACATGCAGAGACCAAAGTTCAGCGCCACTAACCCTGGGAAAGAAAGCAAGTACATAAAAGTAGGCATAGTAGGGGAAAAAACACCCACGCAACCCTGGTTTCTGATTTAGCAGTCCCAAAGTGCTTGCTGCTGACAAAAACTGAACTCTCCATCAGGGCAGGGAGGTCACAGCCCTCCAGGCCAGCAGATCTCGAGCACTGTCCCACTGAGGGCAGGTGGAGCTCAGCACAGGTCGCTGAGCTGGGGGCTCGGGCATCCCCTGGGGCTGCAGCCTTGCACCTTGTTGCCGTTGTTGTACATGGCGACCAGACAGTGGAGGTGGAAGACGTGGCCGCATTTCACCAGCTTCCCCACCAGGTCGGGCTTGACGGCTGGCTGGGGTCCCTTGTAGCCAGAAGGTGCAGAGAGGCGCTCCATGCAGATGGTGCAGTCCTGCACGGAAGGGGATGAGAGGGGTCAGATGGATGGATGCAGCCAGAGCCTCCCCAAGGACACGGGGCTGATAAGTTGCCCTGCTCTTGCCCAGGGACCAGCACCCACCCTTGGTGCTGTGCTGTCACCCTGGGCCACCACAGGGGTCAACCAACACATGCATGCACCACACAGCCCCTCTTCAGAGCGGGACAGGGACAGGGCAGGGCCATGAGGGGCGGCAGGAGACCCCTGCACAGCGCAGGAGCATCACCCATGTCACCAGTTGTTCCTCCCAGAGCAAAGCACCCCAGGGACACTCCAGTGCAAACCTCACTGCTCGCACCTCATCCGGCGGATGCCGCACCTTCTGCAGGTATTTTTTCAGTACCTCCTCTGGAGTTTTACCTGCAGGACAGCAAGAGACAGAGGGGTTGGAGGGCAGCACAGGGGAAACCCACTGCTGGGGGCAGCAGGAGGGGATGGCGGGGACCAAGGGACCAGCTAGGGAAGGGGGGGACAGGAACAGGGGCCAAGTGGCAAAGTGCCTCTCACCCTTCTTAGCCTGTTTCTTGGTGGTCTTGCGGCAGGTGTGAGAGATGCCGGGGATGGACTGGATCTCGCTCTTGCTGACAGGCGGGGGGTGCAGCACCAGCTTGGGGGGCCGTGTCAGGCAGACAGGCAGCCCGGCCGCACTCATTAGGATCCCTGTGATCCCTGGGCGAGGAGGTTCAAAATGGCACTGAGGAGCCAGTGTCACCCCAAACCCCAGGTGCTCCCCCAAAA